GAGTAAACCTATTCGTATGGTTCCTATTCAACTGTCTACAGCATTCATATGCTTGAGAGGATTCATATGCTTCTCCGGTTCGGTGGTTGTGGTGTCTGCTGCAGTGCTTGGAGTCCTCAGGAAGCGCTAGGAGCATCTTTCAACGGAGGTACCCAGTCGGGGTGCCAGGTGATCCGTTACACTACGGTTCCCCCTGCGATATTTTTTGATACTGCCATTCCTGTCCTTGATGAGCATCTGGCATCCATTTGGGATACCTGGGATAAGGTTCAAACTGCTCTAGGGGCTGCTGCTGAACGCTTCAAACATTTTGCTGATAAGTATGGGACCGGGTTTGGTTGTCATCTCGCAACATCAAGCTTAAGGCCCCTAGCATGAAGTTTGCCCCCAGATTCCTTGGTCCCTATGGAGTGCTTCGTAGGATCAATCCAGTGTCTTACTCTCTGGCTCTTCCTGCATCTTTAGGGATTCCCAACATTTTTCATGTGTCCTTACTCAAATCTCTTGTCTGCAATAGATATACTGTTCCTTGTGTTCCTCCCCCTCCAGTGGTGGTGGGTGGTCAGGAGGAGTATATCTAGGATTTTAGGTTTTCTCGGGGTACTTTACAGTACTTGGTTGTTTGGAAAGGTTACGGTCCTGCTGATCGTTCTTGGGTTTCGGCTCCTGACCTGCATGCAGGCCGTAAGATCGACGCTTTTCACGCCAAATTTCCTCTCAAGCCTGGTTCTGCCCGCCCGGTGGGCGTTCTTCAGGTGGGGGGTAATGTCACGTATTCATCCACATATAGAAATGTGGTTAATGACATTTACTGTCCACACAGGAAAAGTTGTGCCGAGCAGCAACCTAATCCACAGAAGGGTTAATGCAGAGCAGCAATTATGCAAATGAAACCTGGTAACTGACTTTGAGGTCAAAGGCCAGTTACAGCCTATCAGAATTAAAGGAGGGGTATTTAGGCCCAGTTCTCATCCTGCTCAGTGCCCTGTCGTGGTTTCCCTTGTGGTTGTCCGAGAGCGCGTTCCTGTTATTAGTTTTCTACCTGGTTTTTGACTTTGGCTTTGTTTATTGACTTCTCTAAATTCTGGTATCCTGACTCCTGGCTTTCCTCATCGCTGCGTCCCTTTCTGTGTTCCCTGACCTCGGCTAGTATTTTTGACTATTCTATGTACGTTAAATCCAGCCATTCTAAGGACCGGTAATACGTTACTTATTTGTCATCCGTGCTATACAGTTCTACATGCTGGATCAAACAGTAATCCTGACAGGTAAGTACGTAATGGTCTGTGTCTTTTTGAAGATTCGTAATTTTAAGGTGCTGGTGGTTAGACATGATGTTATTGGTGTTATTGGTGAATTAATTTGGTTGTAAGAATCCATAGAAGGCTAGATAAACTGGCGTTTTGATAACAAGATTGGTGTTGGTTTCGTATTGATTGGTGTCCAGAATGTCTGAAAGTGCACGAAATTTAGGACCATCAATAGGAAGCCTTGTAGTGGTAGTGGGTTTGTCTAATCGTTGTATGCCTTTCAAAATGTTCTTAATGGGGTAGGTATATATGAAGGGGTTTGTGCTAGGTTAATCACTTAGAATGTGATGTTGGATTCCTGTGAGATATTTTTATAGTGTTTAATGATAATTTTACGTTAACGTGGCAAAAGGAGATAAATGCTACTATAGAGTCTAGTGAATGAGGTGTTGCTTATCTGGTAATCTACCGTGAATTTGGTATATAGGGTGAATGCTCTATTGTATGCCAGTGATGTGTTGGTAGAGAGTGCTGAAATGGACAGATTTCTGCTGTGTGATAACAGTCTTTCTAGTGCAAGATGAGGTCTTGCTGTGAGGGAGTGCTGACCGGTCTGATGTTGGCTGTGGGATGGGCCCTGAAGAAAACCTGTAACTTAAATCGAGACAATGCGTCAGCGGCTATATTGGTGCATTCTGGGATGTGTATGCATGTAATGTGGAATTGCAGTGTAGCTGCTAACCATGTTAACTGTCGAATTAGTCTCATAATGGTAAGTGATGAAGATCTGCTTTTATTTATGATGTTGCATGCTATGTTATTATCAGAGAAGCATTTTACTGCTTTCCCTTGGCACAGGTGCCCCCATTCTCTGGAGGCTGCCTCTATTGGGCATATTTCAAATAGGGCAGATGTAGTGTGGAATGAGGGTAGGTCATGGATCTCAAATGGCCAGAAATCTCTAAACCAGGCATCGCCAAAGACCCTGTATGAGCTGCTGCATCGGCATGATGTGAGCGTAAGTGCTTTGTATTGGGTTTATGGTGGTGTCATTACCGTGGGAGAGAGCCGGAGTAGGGATCAGTATGGGTGGGACGACTGACGATGTCTGAGGGGATTCCAACTTGTCCAGCCTAACGCTGATCGTATTGATAGAGGCCAGGAGAGATGACATCAAACCCTTGATCTTGGTATAGTTGTCGGGTTGCAGGACAATTCCTGGCTGGGGAGTACATGTGTTGGAAAAAAATATTTAATAGAGTTTGGCCTAGCGAGCTGTAGCTGGAACCCCCATGCAACATAATTCAGCCGCGAGCTTAATGATAGTCCATGATCGCAGGGAGCACAGACTGGATGGTTCCAGATTCTCAGTAGGGGTTTCAGGTATAGCCAGTTTCTCTTCTTGTTCAGGAATTTGAGACATACTAAGAATGAAAACATGGGTAAGGATATGGCCTTTAGTTGTGAGCAAAGATGCCTGTGTCAACTGCCTCTAGCTAATCTTAAGGCGAAACATTATCTGACCTACAAGGAAGATGGAGCCCTGCTAGTGCCAAGTGGCTCGAGAGGCTCTATCTATGAGAAGGGCCGAGTGGGCGGGAACCACTGAATGATGTGGCGGGATTGTTGGCCTCTCGGTGACTGTAACAAGACATAATATAATTGGGTGTGACTGGTGATGCCCTAACTATTAACTGACAGTGGTTAATGTGAGGTTCTAGCTATGCGTTGGACCAAGGGGCGTATAACTACGATGAGGATGGGTGTTGGCCTTTAATTTAATTACAGTAAGCTAGGTGCAAATACTATTAATAACAGCCGGTTGACCAACCCTAGTTTGTTGGGATATTGGGAGTAGGATGTAAAATGGAGACGTACCTAGTTTGGGAAATCATAAGGGTTCTCTATGGAGAATGACATATACTTGCGAACCTGAAAATAAAATGTGGATGGTTAAGTCTGAGTTGGACCTAACTTTTTTTATTTTTTTTGCACTGCACCTCTTCACACTTGATTTTTTTTCCCCGTAGAAAAGCTCTGATTCAATGCTTTTCTATGAGGAGGTCTAATGCGCGTACAGCATTTGCCAACCATGCACATTAGCACCAGCTCACCGCTGGTCATCAGAGAGGCGGAGCGTCTAGCCAGCACTGAGGAATCTGAACTGGAAAAAGGTAAGAAAATAGGCTTTTTAACTCTTTATTTACCGAGGCAGGGGGACGCGAGGGAGCAGGGAGGCAGAGGGAGTTATAGTGCCAGGAATACAGCTTTGTTTTCTTGGCACTTATAGTATCCCTTTAACATATGGTCACTGGATTCCACAATCAATTAAAAGCAAGATGTCTATTGAAGGACCACAATGGTACTAAGCATCAGAGGCCTCAAACATACGGAATAAAAAACAAGAAAAATTCATAGTTTAACCATATTTTTATTTATATGGGTTCACATTCCCTCAGTTCCTCTTTCCCAGTCCCCAACTCTGTCTCCGTCTATCCCGATTTGGCAAACGTTTTCCTCCTCTTTCTGTTAGAACATTTTTTTTCCTCCCTAGCTCTCTCTATACTTTACCTTCTGCCTCTCCTTGGTTTGTGTTCTTTATTGTTTCACTTCCTTTTTCCCCTTAATCTCCAGGGGACATTATCTGAAGGTTCCACCTGCTAATGAAGACAATGTACAGTATTCTAGCATTAGCAATTTCAGGAATGGAATTCTAATAGATTCTATATATTATATACTATAAATAGATATTACATTATAATTATATTCATTCTGATATATTCAATATATTAGTACCACATAATGCATTTTCTTCCTGGATCATTCCACTCAAGTGACTTACAGAAACAAAGAACAAAATTCTTCTTTTAATGTGGTAATAATGTTTAATATTGTGGTAATAATATTTTAATGGTACGTCTTGACGTAGACCAATTTTACACTGACATTCTGCTATTTGTGCCCCAAATTGTTCAACTTGAGCAATGCTATGGCTATCTAGCTTGCTAGTGTGCCCTGTTTTAGGAAACTTATCCTTACTCGATTATGATAACCTTTTTCCAAAATATTCTGTTACCCTTTTTATTTTATTATTTATAAGCAATTCAATATTTATTAACCATAGTTTGCAATATCTCATGCACTTTGTCCCTTGGTCTTTTTTTTTTTTCTTGACAATCTTTATTTATTTTAATAAGTTTCGATAGATGATATAAATACGAGCTGTGTGAAAGCATAACAACGTACAGTTCAGGTAGCTGTAGAATACAGATTCCCTTCACTGACAAGTAAAACACTAATCTCTAAATTCAGCCAAAGCTAACTGTGGGGCTAGTGATATGGATTGTAGCAGTGAGCTGCCATAGGGGGCTTTACTCGTCTCTGAGAACACCGCCTTGGTCTTTTCTTATTGCACTTACTTTATTGTGATATAGTTGAGTATGTTTCTAAAATATGTTGATTTTTTTTCAGAAGTGCATAATGTTAGAATCATAATGTATTATTACAATTATGTTTTATTAAAATTAAGTGATTTTGTACATTGCAATAAAACTTTAGCATGTTAAAGTAAAGTACAGCAGTATACCTTAAATCGTTCTATACCTTTAAACAGGTAACTCTTTGTATGGATTAAACACCTGAGGCATTTTACTGCTGTCACCATGGTTCCCAGGTAACTCGTTTAATCTCTGACTTGTTTGTGTATTGGAGCAGGAAGCAGGTTCTATGCACATTTATGTGAAGCAGTGGAAGAAAGGAGAGCAATTAGAGGTATGTTACCCTGTATAAGCTGAGGACACATATGGTAACTAAGAAGCGTATAGGACAACCTACGTTCGGGTTTTAAAGGGAAAACTGGAATTGTATGCTTCATAGACATCAAAAAATGAATCTTTGCAGAACATTTTAAAACTTCTTAAATTTCTCAAGACATTCAGTGATTTCCTTTTCTGGAAAGAGAAGAGAGAGGTAAAGCCAGCCTACATTTCTCCCAGGAGACAAGAGAACAGATGTGATTCTGAAGGTTGAATTCACAAGGGCATTTGTTTACTGTATATTACACTTGCTCATTTCAAACCCGTGGCAAACTAGTCATATCGCATTTGCCAGAAATCTATTTTTTTTCTTTCAGAGAACGTCTCCTTTATCAGATGGTAGCATAGTTACCCTATTCACCTTGTTAATTATTAACTACAATGGCCTACCCCATATGAGGTCATTAAACAGTCCACCTGCAAGCCGATTCAAAATCACCTGTATATGTTGTATTAAGGAGTGTTTCAAGCATGTGAACTTTGATCTTCACTCTGGAATATTCAGCTTCCTCGACTGTCTGCCATTTTCTCCATCATGGCCCTTAGTCGAGCAGGGCTTGGCCGCTGCTCCTGCTGCTTCTGGTTGGCAGTCGCTTTTGATGTCTTTGGTTTGGCTGTTCTCTTGATCGGGGTCTTTGCCAATGTCTTCTTCTACGACTTTCTCATCTATGCTGGGGCTATAGTAATTTTCCTTAGCCTAATTTGGTGGGTATTCTGGTACACAGGGAATATTGAAGTACCCCCAGAAGAACTAGCTGACGATGTGGGACTTAAAAAGGGAAATGGCGTCTTGGGGCTAGTCAGAACACTGTCTGGGCGTCTTTCTAGCAGTTTCAGAAAAAGCCGTGGACCACGAACTCCCACACAGGGACGGAGAGAGAGCCCTAGGCCTAAACAAAATAAAAAGGAGATCCCAGTCATAGTACCCATGACACATCACCTGAACAGCGTGTCATCCTCTGTGGAAAAAGAAAGAAGGAATATGGCAGGTCACCGTTCAATTCACACTTCTCCCATATAATAACAACTATACACAGGTGAGAAATTAAATTCTATAGGTTTCAAACATATTGGACTTATTCCAATACAACAAACTGGAGTGTAAAATGTAATTGACAGATGAATTAGGATTAATTTTGCTACCCACAGAGAGAAAAAATTTCATATGTATTTTTCAGTCTAATGACTACAGAACTAGTGAGCATAAGTCAGAATAAAGGAATATACGATCTATAACAGCTATGGAAATTGTGTGTTTGGAAGAGACTTTTACCTTTGCCTCTTTTTGTTTTAACTCTGAACTGTGAACTGAGGTGAGCTGACGATCAAGTTACAAACATTTAGGTCAATATTGCAAAGTTGGAAATGTATTAAAGCTTAGCTGTTTTTGCCTGAATTTTGCAACTGTGCAGTCAACTCACTGGTTAATGAATAAATTATTTAATTCCATTCAGACATATTGTAAAGTATAATTTTCCTATAAGTAGATATTAGGAAGAAATTATTTGCACGAAAACAAAATGAAGATATAAAACTAAGAATTTGGCATTCGCAAAATACACATAAAAGGTGAAATGATAATACTGATCTGCCCTGTCATATTTATATGTATAAATAGTATGAAAAACAGATGGTTTACTAATGTCAAAACGTATTGTTAAAGGGCCATTTTAGTGTTTAGTAATAACCCCCTCCTTCTTTACTACAATATGTAGATAACACATTGAGAAATGTGCAAAAAAACTATTAACTAATTAAAGATGCATTCTGTGTTCCTGACGCTTCTGCTAACTTAGTGCATTAAAAAAAGCTGATGCATAAACGGATACCGATAATTATATCGGTATTAAAAGAAATACAATTCCACTTTTCCAAGGTTATTCACAACCTTGTTTACAGTTGTGCCAAGCCCCCAACCACGCGTGCTAAGCACTTATAAGCCACTGTATGCAGTGATTGTGGATCTCTATGCAGCAGAACCTGTACAATGACTTAAAGGGACACTGTGGGCACCATAACAACTTCAACAAATTTAAATGATTATGGGGCCTGGAGACCACAGTTAACTCAACAGTTATCAGAGACACTCAGTTCCAGGCAGTCTGAAGCCCAGCCTCCAGTATGGTGGAGACAGAGCTCAATTTTATACTAGTTTATACCAGGGATTGGGACAGTGATTGGCTGAGAGTGCTGAGAGTCAGCCAATCATTGCCTGCTCTCCTTGATATAGTGTGAAGCAGAACATAGCTTCATTTATGTCATATTGTCATTAGACACCAGGTTTTAGACTGACCGTGGCAGAGAATCTCTACTCTACATTGAGTGAACTGTTTAGTAATAATGTGGAGACTCCAGGCACCATAACCACTTTAATTTATTGATGTGTTTATGGTGCCTACATTGTTCCTTCAAAGTCTTTGAGGTACTTAGAATGACCCTTTAAATTCACAATTCAGGTTAGTGGTTGAAAATGAATCTGCATTGTTATACAACTAAGCAATGCATAGCAGATATATAACAATTGTTGAAGACTGTCCAGGTATCTGAAAGTTTAATAAAACAAACATTTATCTACTTTGCAGGTACTGCAAAAGTAAGCTTTAATATATTCTTAATACATAATTTCTAGATTTTATACATGCATATAATATAAATAGTGGCAATATGTTTTTTTTTCTCTTTTACTGGTATCTTCCCAATTAAATAAACTTACTATTTATAAGAAGGCATATCTTGTTTAGATATTTTCTGTTATACGTATATCTCTAGTATATTGTTTATTTTAAACGCATTTTAATTTTTCAACATTAATCAAAAAAATATTGTATAATTACCTATTCTCAACTTGTTTAGAAAAGTTTTTATAGCATGTTCTATACAGCAGAATTTTGTAGCTGCAAAAAAGAATATATTGCTTTAGCTACTTTGAATCAAAGATGTAATTTACTGAGGAGATCAATGCTTATTGGAATGGTGGAAAATCAAATTTTGTTATCAAAGATAACCATTGAAATGTCACTGGTCATTTTCTCCATTTCTAAGAAATTTACACTGGACCTACTATCACTACAGGAATAATCATAAATAATTATTTTCCCAAATAAATGTATAGTGACAAACTGGAGGTGCTGTTTGTGACACCTTTCTAATTTATATACACTCTATGGAATTGTATTTATGACTGAATAGAAGATTAAAGTTGAGAATGTTTTCGGATTATCTTTTCACTGGTAAACATGATATTATGGTAGTAGCTGGGGTAGAAATTATGAATTCAAGATAATGATGCTGGTCATAATTCTAATCTCAAACTTATAAATGAATGATAATGACAAGTGACATTAAACAAATTGCTCTTTTAAAAGGAAAGGGTCATTAAAGGACTGGGTCATTAAAGTGGGTCATTAACAAAACTGCAAAGCCATCAGTGAGCTTCTAGAGTGTCGTATTGGCATATAATTGTGCAAAACCATTGATTATACACAGTCCCCAGCATGGCGGAATTTAGAGTTAAAATAGAAAGATAATTATCTCCTGGACAGGCTTACAGCTCTGATACATAACACTACACAGTCTTTTGATAAGGTATGGTACCCGTGGGAGAACCTCGGAGGTTGAGGAGGAGAGGGGAGTTGAAGGTGTATTGTCTCTGGTCTCATAATGGGTTCTCTTTTATTTTCTTTTGTTTTTTATTTTACTTAGGTTTTTTTCTTAATGTATGCTTTTATGTTTATTTAGGTATCGTCATTGTACCTTATTATTTTGTTGATTGCCTCTCTTTTGGTTTTTATTTTACTTAGGTTTTTTTCTTAATGTATGCTTTTATGTTTATTTAGGTATCATCATGGTACCTTATTATTTTGTTGATTGCCTCTCTTTTGGTTTAACTCAAATTATTGTTTCTCCTGCACCTAGACAATCTATATACAGGGAGTGCAGAATTATTAGGCAAGTTGTATTTTTGAGGATTAATTTTATTATTGAACAACAACCATGTTCTCAATGAACCCAAAAAACTCATTAATATCAAAGCTGAATATTTTTGGAAGTAGTTTTTAGTTTGTTTCTAGTTATAGCTATGTTAGGGGGATATCTGTGTGTGCAGGTGACTATTACTGTGCATAATTATTAGGCAACTTAACAAAAAACAAATATATACCCATTTCAATTATTTATTATTACCAGTGAAACCAATATAACATCTCAACATTCACAAATATACATTTCTGACATTCAAAAACAAAACAAAAACAAATCAGTGACCAATATAGCCACCTTTCTTTGCAAGGACACTCAAAAGCCTGCCATCCATGGATTCTGTCAGTGTTTTGATCTGTTCACCATCAACATTGCGTGCAGCAGCAACCACAGCCTCCCAGACACTGTTCAGAGAGGTGTACTGTTTTCCCTCCTTGTAAATCTCACATTTGATGATGGACCACAGGTTCTCAATGGGGTTCAGATCAGGTGAACAAGGAGGCCATGTAATTAGATTTTCTTCTTTTATACCCTTTCTTGCCAGCCACGCTGTGGAGTACTTGGACGTGTGTGATGGAGCATTGTCCTGCATGAAAATCATGTTTTTCTTGAGGGATGCAGACTTCTTCCTGTACCACTGCTTGAAGAAGGTGTCTTCCAGGAACTGGTAGTAGGACTGGGAGTTGAGCTTGACTCCATCCTCAACCCGAAAAGGCCCCACAAGCTCATCTTTGATGATACCAGCCCAAACCAGTACTCCACCTCCACCTTGCTGGCGTCTGAGTCGGACTGGAGCTCTCTGCCCTTTACCAATCCAGCCACGGGCCCATCCATCTGGCCCATCAAGACTCACTCTCATTTCATCAGTCCATAAAACCTTAGAAAAATCAGTCTTGAGATATTTCTTGGCCCAGTCTTGACGTTTCAGCTTGTGTGTCTTGTTCAGTGGTGGTCGTCTTTCAGCCTTTCTTACCTTGGCCATGTCTCTGAGTATTGCACACCTTGTGCTTTTGGGCACTCCAGTGATGTTGCAGCTCTGAAATATGGCCAAACTGGTGGCAAGTGGCATCGTGGCAGCTGCACGCTTGACTTTTCTCAGTTCATGGGCAGTTATTTTGCGCCTTGGTTTTTCCACACGCTTCTTGCGACCCTGTTGACTATTTTGAATGAAACGCTTGATTGTTCGATGATCACGCTTCAGAAGCTTTGCAATTTTAAGAGTGCTGCATCCCTCTGCAAGATATCTCACTATTTTTGACTTTTCTGAGCCTGTCAAGTCCTTCTTTTGACCCATTTTGCCAAAGGAAAGGAAGTTGCCTAATAATTATGCACACCTGATATAGGGTGTTGATGTCATTAGACCACACCCCTTCTCATTACAGAGATGCACATCACCTAATATGCTTAATTGGTAGTAGGCTTTCGAGCCTATACAGCTTGGAGTAAGACAACATGCATAAAGAGGATGATGTGGTCAAAATACTCATTTGCCTAATAATTCTGCACTCCCTGTATTCTTGGAGGCACCTTTCAGGTTATATACCTCTATATGCACTCTATTACTGTACACTGTAGATCTTTGGATCTTCTTGATTGCATGTGGAGTTTCTCTTGCACCTCGACAATCCTTATATTCATGAATGCATCGGTTAGTTTGTGTTATATATATACTTTATTACTGTACATTGCAGATCTGTAGGTCTTCGTGATTGAAGCTTATTTATGGCTTTGTTGAAAACATGGGTACATTGTATGATGGATTTTGTGCTACTGTTTGTACATTTATGTGTGCCTGTACTTATTTAAAGAATTTAAAAATACCCGCTAAAAAAACATCACTGTTTATAAAGATGTGCGGAAGTTTTAGTTTTTTCTCCATGAGTGATTTTTTTTTTCATCTTGCTTTCTTATTTATAATGAGTCCAGCTGATGGGCCAAAGGCCTTTTCCTTAAAAATATGTATTTTTTGCATTTTACAAATAAAATAATCATTTACGAATATAATTCAATAAAAGGCCCACACGTTTTTTTGTTTTTTTGCTACAGCTCATGCAGGCATTGAACAATTACACTGAACAAAATTCTAAATACAACAGTTTTGTTTTTGCCCCCATTTTTCATGAGCTGAACTCAAAGATCTAAGACTTTTTCTATGTACACAAAAGGCCTATTTCTCGCAAATATTGTTCACAAATCTGTCTAAATCTGTGTTAGTGAGTACTTTGCCGAGATAATCCATCCACCTCACATGTGTGGCATATCAAGATGCTGATAATACAGCATGATTATTGCAAAGATGTGCCTTAGGCTGGCCACAATACAACGCCACTCTAAAATGTGCAGTTTTTTCACACAGCACAATGCCACAGATGTCGCAAGTTTTGAGGGAGCATGCAGTTGGCATGCTGACTGCAGGAATGTCCACCAGAGCTGTTGCCCATATATTGAATGTTCATTTCTCTACCATAACCCATCTCCAAAGGCATTTCAGAGAATTTGGCAGTACATCCACCCAGCCTCACAACCGCAGACCATGTGTAACCACACCAGCCCAGGACCTCCACATCCAGCATCTTCACCTTCAATATCGTCTGAGACCAGCCACCCGGAAAGCTGCTGCAACAATCGGATTGCATAACCAAAGAATTTCTGCACAAAGTGTCAGAAACCGTCTCAGGAAAGCTCATCTGCAAGCTTGTCCTCCTCATCAGGGTCTCAACCTGACTGCAGTTCGTCGGCATAACCGACTTTAGTGGGCAAATGCTCACATTCGATGGCACCTGGCACTTTGGAGAGGTGTTATTTTAAAGGATGAATACTGGTTTTCACTTTACAGAGGAGATGGCAGGCAGCATGTATGGTGTCGTGTGGATGAGCGGTTTGCTGATGTCAACGTTGTGGATCGAGTGGCCCATGGTGGCGGTGGGATTATGGTATGGGCAGGAGTGTGTTATGGACAATGAATACAGGTGCAATTTATGGATGGCATTTTGAATGCACAGAGATACCATGACGAGATCCTGAGGCCCATTGTTGTGCCATTCATCCACGACCATCAACTCATGTTGCAGCATAATAATGCACGACCCCCTGTTGCAAGGCTCTGTACACAATTCCTGGAAGCGAAAAACATCCCAGTTCTTGCATGGCCAGCATACTCATCGGACATGTCACCCATTGAACATATTTGGGATGCTCTGGATCGACGTATACGACAGTGTGTTCCAGGTCCTGCCAATATCCACCAACTTCGCACAGCCATTGAAGAGGACCAACATTCCACAGGCCACAATCAACAACCTGATCAACTATATGCGAAGGAGATGTGTTGCACTGCATGAGGCAAATGGTGGTCACACCAGATACTGACTGTTTTTTTCAGACCCCCCCGTATCCTCCCAATACAGTTAAACTGTACATTTTAGAGTGGCTTTTTATTGTGGCCAGCCTAAGGCACACCTTTGCAATAATCAGGCTGTCTAATCAGCATCTTGACCTGTGAGGTGGATGGATTATCTCGGCAAAGGAGAAGTGCTCACTAACACAGATTTAGACAGATTTGTGAACAATATTTGCGAGAAATAGGCCTTTTGTGTACATAGAAAAAGTCTTAGATCTTTGAGTTTAGCTCATGAAAAATGGGGGCAAAAACAAAACTGTTGTGTTTATAATTTTGTTCAGTGTTAATGTCTCTTCTGTTTCAGCTTTTGTGTATAGAATTTCATCTATTCATACTTGTGGTGTTATAAATACAAACTAATTCCTTAAGTGAAGTGTTTATGATTATAATTTTGCCTTCATGTAAATAAAACCTTATTTGGGATTTTAAAAATATCTGCAGACATGTTGTCAGATTAGATGGCTCCCCTCTTGTTTTGGTGAACTGTACTCACATACCTATCTCTTGCGCTCTCCTAAAGAGCAGCACTCTACTCTCTCCTCCAGCTCTGCTTCACTCCCACCTTATTTGATTGCCATCTCCATTCCTATTGTGTTTTATACCCCACCTCCTCTAGACTGTAAGCTTGTTTCAGCAGGATCCTCTTCAACCTATTTTTCCTGTAAGTTTTTTTTAATTGTCTCGTTTATTGTTAAATCTCCCCCTCCTATAATATTGTAATGCACTACGGAATTTGTTGGTGCTATATAAATGCCGATAATAATAAGAATAAGAATAATATTACATTTAGTAGGGAACCTCACAACTTGCAAAGTTATAGAAGTTGCTGAATTAAGGTTCTACCGATATATTTTTTAGTAGAAATGCAGGATTTTTGGTAGCTTGCTTTTTCCGGTGTAATATCTTGGGGTAGCCTTTCAAACTCAACAAATTATGTGATGTCACCATGGCAATTTGAACCTGTTGTAGAGATAAGACGTCTGAGGAAGATACAGCCTTTAACCTTTGAGATTGTGACAGTGGCAGAGGGATCGGAGCAGGGGAACAATGGAAGTGCTCATTACATGTTTAATTTGCCTTAATGTTCATTATATCCTCCACATTACTATCTGCATATTGCTATGAATATATGAATGACAGAGAAACACTTTAGTATTACGTATAAATGCAACGTTGTATTCCTAACACAAAACTGTTCCTTTAAACATACGTTGTGAAGTATCTATCTTTGCCAACTGTGTGTCCCTAGGCTATGGCTGATAAACTGTGTGCAGTTACCTATTTCTAGGCCCTAGCAATGATCTCTGTTTTCTACCTGTGACCAGCTATTATTAGGGTAGGACGCACATATACATTTATTTGGCTCTGACAATGTCTCTTGTCCATACAAAATGGGAGTGATCACATCACACAGACTTTTAGCTACCTGAATTTAATTAAATTTCTATTTAATATTTACAAATCACAATAGTTTGGTTTTACTTGGACATCTAATAGTTTTATTTTCAACCATTTTGCTGTATCTTGGTATGTTTGTTCTTGTTGTTGTTTTTTGTTTGTTTTTTTTAGTTTGTGCTGTCCTTTCTTTCAATACCTCCCTCTATCTTCGCATTCCTTCATGTTGTTAATTTAGTTTTTCTTAGTTTTACTAGATCACCTTCTTCATGAGATTAGTTTCATGGGCACAGTAAGTTTTCACACTCTGTTTGCAAAAACCTTGTCTGTTCACTCTAAGCAAATTGTTTTCTTTCTTTTCCCCATAAACATTTTATTGGTTGGATGAACAGAGTGGTACAGAACCTTGATAATTAAATCAGCGGCAATAACAATGTTATGTTTAACACAGCTTCATATTCAGTCCTATCCAAATGTAATTTAGTTTTATGTAAAAATGACAAAGAAGGGGCATGATTATATATATTTTTATTTCTCTCTCTCATCTTGAGATCTTACATAGATAAATAATTACATAGCTGAAAAGAGAGTTGCGTCCATCAAGTTTTTGCTGTTGATCCAAAAGAATGCAAAAAACCTAGTCTGAAGCATTTCCAATTTTGCAACAAACTAGGAAAAAATTCCTTCTTGACCCCAAAATGGCAGTCAGATATCTCCTTGAAGAAACAAATACTTAAACAGGGAGTTGGTGTAAACAACCTTTTCACTATTAAGTAAATAGTGCAGCGCCTTAAGTGTGATATCAGGACAAGCAAAATATACAATGTGCACTTACCCCTCACAACAAACAGGGGATATACATGTAAAATAAACATACAGAAATTTATATAGGGTAATATTGTTTGTTATAAGTAATAATTTTGTAAAATACATTGGGTAGAGAAAAAACTCACATTTTAAAGAGCCTTTTATGGAGATACAGGCTCTAAACACTTTTGCGTCTGTGCCTTTAAGGTAGGCAGCAACACCTAAACGGTGGAACTCGTTCCTCTTTTTTAAGCAAATAGTTTATCTCCAAAAGGAACAAAAAAGGAGAAAGGGAACTCTGGGTGCAGATTAAATTTAGACATTGGTACACAGATAAAATAGTGGTCAGTGCTCACCTTCTAATGAGCCTTTTGATAACTGTCTCTAAGTATAAATGGTGTATGTGTCAATTTAATGGGATTACACCACCCACAACTGGATCCAAAGAGCAAAGTGGAGTTAGAGGTAAGTATATTAAAATTGATTTATTCAAACATAAAAATAAAAGTATATATGTATATAAAAAAAAGATAATGAACAATAAATACGTCAAGCTCCTTCCTCTCCTCTCATACCAAAACGCGTTTCGCCTTTAGTGTCGGCTTCCTCAATTGGTATGGTGCTCTTCCCTCAATGTCCGGGTTTGATATCCTTGGGTCAAGCAGCTATTACCGTACTAATTAGAAATTATATCCCTGTATGTTATGTTTTTATTTATCCAATTGCTGTTTAAACACCTGTACGGACTCTAATAAAACCACCACTTCAGGCAGAGAATTCCATATCCTTATTGCTCTTACTGTAAAAAAAACTTTCCTTTGCCTTAGATGAAATCTCCTGTCTTCCAGCCTAAATGTGTGACCTCGTGTCCTATGTATAGTCTTGTTTATGAATAGATTTCCAGATAATGGTTTGTACTGGCCCCGAATATATTTGTATAATGCTATCATATCCCCTCTGAGGCACCATTTTTCTAGATTTTAATTTTTTAAACCTTTCTTCGTAACTAAAGTGTTCCATTCCTTTTATCAATTTTGTAGCTCATCTCTGTATCGTAGAGGACGTGGAGATGTAAATAAATGCACTGCCCAACCTGCATTCAGATTTTTTTTTAAATTTATTTTTGTAATTACATTTTTCTGCAGTGGCTACAATCTCAAAAATCACAGATGCCATGACAAAAACAATAATAACAATAATAATCATAACAATTTGACGTAAAGAAAAATTCATAGATTTTAAGCTGGATAGCTTTACGGTCTACTTGCTATTTTAAAAGCACTGTACATGCCCTTTTCTTCTGATTGATAAATGTCAGATCCAAGTCAATACAAAGGTATAGTTAGTGGGCTTTGATGATGTATAGATGTGAGAAAATGGCTACTTAATAACTACAGCCATTGATGCTGGATTATTTTTATATATGTAAGGCTGAAGGTTTAATATGTCCCCAGGATCAATATCAGCAGCTAGTTGAGTCACCAGCAAGAAACCTGGCATAGCTGTCAAGAATGAATATGTTATATTATCTAAATAGGTATGTTATCTATATTATATAGCATTTATCAACATACAAATAAAGGAGAATTTGGGGACATTGACCATAACCTAGGGTAATAAAGTAAAATGACAAAATGGCAACAGCAACCTGGAATGCTCTCCTGCAAAGTGTTTTATTTAAAAGTATCAACTTCACCAGGCTAAGGGCATATTATGGTTGCTCCAATAGGACATTCCCCGGTAATGCGGCTAACCATTTTATAATGTCCTTTCCTGATCCTGCCATACACTGGGTCTCCTCTGTGGTCAGCTTTACGGCATTCAGCTTCTGCTGAGCCACAAAAGCCGGTTGATGATCCTGACTCTCATTCATTGGCTGAAAGTATCAAATGACCACTATTAGCCAATGACCGAATATTTGTGCATTGAAATTTGTACATAACTGACATTTGCCAGCCCAGAACATTTGTTCTGCTCTGAATGATGATGCTGCGAGAGTTCCATCTCTGGCGACAAAGGGGTTAAACTATGTATGTACAGTGTTTAACAGTGAAACGCTGTGCCTACAGACTCCAGACACCATGACCACTTCAAATTACTGAAGTGGTTAAGGTGCTTGGAGGAACCCTTTAAGTGTAATGTTAACAGCGTAATGAAAAGAGAGGTTCTGCACACAAACTAAATATTAGTCAAGTGAGTTACAGAGCCACTATATCTCCAAATACATTTACACATTGACCTCTGATATTCTGGGAAGGGCAGAGAGCGTGGATATAGAGAATGTTTGTTAATTAGTTACAATCATTGATTAAAAACAATGGGCGTCGTACAGAAAAGGGAATACTTTTAATGATTTAGCATGTAACGCAATGCTCATATACTCACAATATTTAAAGCACATTCAAGCTGTGAGGCTTTGCATTTAATAGCATATATACAGTATCTCACAAAAGTGAGTACACCCCTCACATTTTTGTAAATATTTTATTATATCTTTTCATGCCACAACACTGAAGAAAATTCTCTGAAACTGCTATGTTTATAAAAAAAGGGTTAATCCTAGAGGGACCTGGCACCCAGACCACCTAGAGTGGTCCTTTAATGTCTAAACTACTAGTCAGGCCTAAAAGTTACTCCTCACTGCAAGCCCAGAGGGTCCATTGCACACTAAACGAGAAATTTTGAGCTAAATGACTTTTTGTAACCTTGCCACTATACAATTTTTTTCCAGCAAGGTCTGCTAAATTGACCCCTTTGTGTATGTGTGTGTAAAGTGACAGTTTATATCAGAGTTTCCGTGTAAACAATATTAATGAGGATGATTACAGTGTTCCTCTGTTTGTTCATTGTTCGTATGTGTTCACACCATTGCACGTCAGTGTTTATGCCAGTGTTCCTGTCTGCGTGCAGTGCCAGAGTATATTCATCTCAATGATTGAGTGAGTAGTCTGCTCAGAACCATCCCTAAATTTACAGTTATCATGCTTTCTGTCCCACAAGCGATCCCAGTTGTTACACCAGTCAATGCTGCAACTTATTGTAATTGTTCTAAGATGCTTTTAGGCCATTAGCCCATGAGCAACTTAGGCAGTGTGGCAGCAAAGGGTAGTTAAGGGTTGAAATTAGATGTGCTTAATGGTGCAATGTGGGGAATGCAGGTTTTTTTGATTTGCAGCAGGCCGCACGAGGACGGAAATGTTCAGTATATAAGTGAACTGTCAGTAGGTGTTAGGTGCAGTGCAATGTAGTTTCATTTTTATTTTATTCTTTTTATCATGGTGTTTTTGTGTTAAAGGGACACTATAGTCACCAGAACAACTACAGCTTATTGTATTTGTTCTGGTGAGTAGAATCATTCCCTTCAGGCTTTTTGTTGTAAACACTTTCTTTTCAAAGAAAAGTGTTTACATTACAGCCTAGGGGTAATTCCACTGGCCACTCATCAGATGGCTACTAGAGGTGCTTCATGGGGCAGTGCTGCACAGTGAGCAGTACTGCCATTCAGTGTCTCCACCCTCTGCATGCAGACACTGAACTTTCCTCATAGAGATGCATTGATTAAATGGATCTCTATGAGGAGATGCTGATTGGTCCGGGCTGTGTTTGACTAGTGCTGGCTCTGCCCCTTATCTGCCTCCTTGACAGTCTCAGCCAATCCTAGGGGGAAGCATTGTGATTGGCTCACACCACCACTTCTGAGACAGACAGCAGGTTGATTAATTAAGTTAAATTAATCAAGTTTATATTAAAACAAATGTATGTGTGTGTGTGTGTGTGTGTGTATGTATGTGTGCATGGGCGTCCGCAGGGGGGGCAACTGAAAACAGATCAGATAAGTGAGACATGCGGGGGAGGGCAGCCTGCACATCAGATAAATGAGACATGGGGGTAGGGCAGACTACAGATCAGGTAAATGAGAGATGGGGGAGCAGACTACAGATCAGATAAGTGAGACATGGGGAGGCAGCCTACAGATCAGATAAGTGAGACATGGGGAGGGCAGACTACAGACAGGTAAGTGAGAGATGGGGGGCAGACTACAGATCAGATAAGTGAGACATGGGGAGGGCAGCCTACAGATCAGATAAGTGAGTGGGAGGGCAGACTCAGATCAGTAAGTGAGAGATGGGGGCAAACTACAGATCAGATAAGTGAGACATGGTGACTACAGATCAGATAAGTGAGACATGGTAGAGGGGAGGGCAGACTCAGATAAGTGAGACATCAGGGAGGGGTGAGACATGGGGGCAGCCAGTACAGATCAGGAATGAGACAGAAAGTGAGGATGGAGGAGCAGACTGCAGGGGCAGATACCTACACATCCACGGCAGCCTACAGATCAGGTAAGTGAGGCATGGGGGGCAGCCTACAGATCAGGTATGATGCAGCCTAAAGATCAGGTAGTGAGGATTGGGGCAGCCTACAAATCAGGTAAGTAGTGATGGGGGCAGCCTACAGGAAGGTAAAGTAGAAGGAACAGAAATTAGCAGAAAATATATACAATGCCACAGAATAATATATACATAAAATCAAGATAACCACAATTAGTGCAGGCAGAGTATACTTAAACAGTCCTTTGGTAAGTAAAGTACTTGGGCAGGATTGTGCAGCCACCACTAGAAATAGGTGGGACACAGATCCTAAGCCACAAAGCCAGGAAGCAAAGCCCGAAGCAGGACAAACGAACAAGGCTGCAGGGTAAGGATCACTGGTAATTAGGCAGATGACAGGAACACTGAACTAGAACACAGGATCGGGAAGCACAGGAACGCAGGACCAGGCAAGACAGGATACAGGATCAAGGAGCAAAGAGTCAGAATCTCAGGAACCAGGAAACAAAAACCAAGGAACAAGAAACAGGAGACAAGAGACAAAGATCTGACAAGGAGTGAGGGGAGAAACCAGACTATATAGGTGCTAAACAAGGACCAGGTGAAGTGCTAATGAAAAGAAATTAGGAACAGTGCCAAACAGTGATAGTGGTGCGTGTGGGTACTGCACAAGTACAAATCAAATAAGGAGTGTCGTGACAGAAGGACAAGTGAAGTGATCCCTCCACTTCATTCTGGACACCACATCATAAGGCTTTGGTATCTGGGCCTGGCAGGAAACTTTAAACCTTCTCATCTCCCCAGGTAAAAAACATATCAGTGTTAATGTGTTCACTTTTATTTACTGAGTGCTGGGTAGGGGTGCCGCTGATTGGCTACACCGTTCAGCTGGCACTCTAAGCCAATCAGTAGCTCCCCATTCATAAAAATTTAAAAAGAATTATGAATCGGGAACTAGCAATTGACTTAGAGCGTCAGCTCTAGCCAATCAGTGGCACCCATGCCTGACGTTAATCTGCACTTCCTGAATATCACTGATCGACCTGTAGATCCGGAGCTGGAGGAAGCCTTTGGGGTTAAACAATTTGAGAGCGGTTTCACTCCTTAAAGGAAAGAGAGTGCCAAGGGGCCTCCTTGCATCATAGCATTTTCATTTAGATTAAGTTGTTATGATGACCAGAATGTTCTTTTAATTTGATTAAAGGAACACTACAGTGTCAGGAAAACAAATAAGTATTCCTGACACCATAGTTGTGAAAACTCTATTCACCCTGGCTTTATGTGATAATGACTATGCTCCTCCCCTTCCTGACACTGTCAAAAAGGGGCCAAGCATGGATGTCATTACAATTATGCCCCACCCTGGAAAAATTCCTGCGGACGCCAATGTATGTTTGTGTGTGTGTGTGTGTGTGTATATATATATATATTTATATATATATATATATATAAAAAAAATACAAATAAGGTGCACTCTCAGGTCTTAACAAGTGCTTAATTTATTTCAATTGCAAATTACATGTGCAAAAATTTTTTTGGGGTGATCTACGTTTCGACCCCTATAGGGCCTTTTTCAAGATCAATTATATCATATATCAAGTGAATATATATAGATAAATGTTAATAAACACTTACCAAAAGAATGGAATACGAGTTGAACCAAAAGTGGATACCCCGAAGATATACTTACCACTTATATTCCACACAGGTTCTACACAAATTCGTAAATCTATTGATAGACACTGGGACATGCTTGGCGCTGACAAACAGTTGTCTTCTATATTTCGTGAGAAACCAACCATCAGTTACAAAAGAAATAGGAATTTAAGGGACATTCTAATTCGGAGTGACCCTACACAGAACTATAAGAAAACTGCAATACAGAAGAAACACGGATGCTACAAATGTAGTGGTTGTGTTACCTGTAGCCATATGATTTCCGGCAACTCCTTTGCTCATCCTCACAGTGGAAAAAGAATAGCTATTTCACATTACATTACTTGTACAACGGATCATGTAATTTATCTTATAACATGTCCTTGTGGATTATCTTATGTAGGGAAGACGGACCTTACCCTCCGAGATCGCATCCGCGGACACAGGTCTGGTATAATGACAGCTTTTAGGGATCAAAAGACTGATAAACCAGTTGCTAAACATTTTTTTAGCAGCCTCACATAGACTTCCCACACTTAAATTTATGGCTATAGACCATGTCCCTCCTTTATCTCGTGGGGGTGACAGGTCTAGATTATTACTTCAAAGGGAAGCATATTGGATCTTTAAACTGGATACAGTCACGCCTAAAGGCTTAAATGAATACAACACCTATTCTATGTTTTTGTGACGTATGGAATATATTTCATGGTTGGCACTAGTCACTGCAAAGTATAGTATCATGTTATAGTTTATATATAAGGAATACACAATCTATTATTAACCCAATGCATATAAGTTTTGGTTAACAGGATTGATTATTATGCCTTTTTAGCCATATGTACAAGGGACACATTGTCCTGAATATAGCAGTGAATTATTTTATTACTAATTGGCTTGCTTGTGCATTAGATATAAATTTTGGTTTATGAATAATTCTAATTAAACCCACTATAGAAAGGTTTTTTTTATATCTGCATCATTTATAACCTTGTTTGGTTGGTTTGTTGGTTTTGTTTATGTTTTTGTTCTTTACTATCTGCAGATTGTCTTATCAGGATGTACATTGTCCACATAAACTATCGATTTATTCGTTTGTTTTTTCTGTGTGACAGGCAAAGATGTGCATGCACACACAGTATTATGAATATTAATTTGTATTGGAAAATTATGTAGCACACTTTTTGGAGGAGCACATATGTTGGTCACATTTGCATGTATGTGTGGTCACTTTAAATGTTTCACGTAGTTTACACTGTTTTCTCACATTCCCATACATTGTGGTCCTCTATTATGTGGGTGCAACATTAGGAGACTTATATTCTGCCCTCCATAGTATGTATACCGTATTGATCACTATATATAGTGATCATTTTACATTAGAGTCATTCTTTTGCGGCCTGGTAGAGCCGGGCAACACTCATACACGATTTGTTTATTTTTGTTGCCTAGCAACGTCGTAATTTTACGCGTCATCACGTTGGTCACGTGGCTACACTGTCTCACTTCCGGGTTTCGGACGGTTAGTGATTTCCCTACACACATCTTTTGGTAAGTGTTTATTAACATATATCTATATATATTCACTTGATATATGATATAATTGATCTTGAAAAAGGCCCTATAGGGGTCGAAACGTAAATCACAAAAAAAAATTTTTGGCACATGTAATTTGCAATTGAAATAAATTAAGACCTGAGAGTGCACCTTATTTGTATTTTTTATTATTTACATCAACGCTGAGGTTTGCACCCAGGCAACAGCTCAATAGATTTGCATCAAAGGGTGAGTGCCAAGTTCATCTCTTTTTTTTAATATATATATATACACATATCTACTGATATTGGCACCCTTGGTAAATATGAGCAAAGAAGGCTGTGAACAATTGTCTTCATTGTTTAACCTTTTGATTTTTTGTTTAAAAAATAAACAAAAGTACTTGGCTTTCATGGATATGTTTGTGAAGTGTACGTTTGGCAAAATTGTTGGAGCCCCTGTGAGAAAAATATATTTGAAGTATATTCCCATTGATATTTAAATTTTTTTGTAAAATATCTGAGTGACTAGGAAAAGGAAATTTTTCATCTTCCTGACTTACATGGGTATAAATATGAGAAAACACACTTTGTAAAACCAAGGAATATAGCTGTGATGTGGGGCAAAAGATTGTTGAGCATCACAAAATGGGAAGTGGCTATAAGAAAATCACAAAGCATTGAAAATCCCCATTTCCATCATCAGGACAATATTTAAGATGTTCCAGTCAACTGGAAATGTTATGGATCAAGAAGAGGACGTGTGTCTATATTGTCTGAACGCCCTGTGAAGAGGATGGTTTGGGTGGCTAAAATTTCTCCATTGATCACAGCTGAATAATTACAGAAGTTAGTTTCATGTCTGGGTCAGAAAGTCTCCAAAAACTACAATCCAATGTCACCTACATCACTACAAGTTGTTTGGAAGGGTTTCAAGAAAAAAGCCTCTACTCAGGGGCGTACCTAGAGCATTTGGCACCTGGGGCGGGTCCTATTTTTGGCACCCCCCTCCACCACCCAACTTTAAAATGTAAAAAACAACCACAATTCTTTTTTTTTTTTTTACATTTATTTAGCACTAAGCAGTGTTTATGCTTTTAAATGTAAGCATGTTTTTGTATGGAGTATGTTTGAGTGAACGTAGGATGTGTGTATGTATGTGGTGTTGGTGTTTGAATGCAGCCATGCATTTTTGTGTAGTGTGGTTTTTGAAGGCAGTGGTGTGGTTATATATAATGGTGGAGTTTGTATGTAGTGTTGATGTTGAAATGCAGGGGTGTATTTGTGTGTAGTGTTGGCGAGATTCTGAGATGTATGCACATATACACATACACACACCTAAATACACACTGACACACATGCAGATACATAGACACATAGGAACAATATATAGGGGGTGGGCACATAAGATACCACAAGCCAAACTGGGGGGAGGGGGGCACTAAAACTTTTCACTAGGGGATGGGTTAATGTGCTGCCATTGGCTGCCTGATGCCAGCATGCAGTGCACATTGGCATCAGTCAACAAATTTGCATATAATTCACATTAGCCACCCAGATTTCTTGTTTGTGGGCTAGCTGACACCTCTTAACGTCGATCTTTGTTTATCAGATAACTCCCTTATTTGCTATCCTTATGTGTGATTGCCATATTTAAGGACACCAAATAAGGATAAGGGAGCTATCTGCTAAACAGCACCCTAATTTGGTATCTTTAAATATGGAAATCTCACATAAGGACACCAATTTAGAGAATTATCAACTAAACAGCTAAAATATCAATTTAAAAAAACAAAAAACATTTCTTAATTTCAGTTGTTTAGTAGATAACGCCCTTATTTGTTATCCTTATGTGGGATTGCAATATTTAAGGACACCAAATAAGGGAACTATGTACCAAACACATACACATTTATATACACACACAATAACACAATAGGTGTATGTCTGTATGTGTATATCTGTGATTGTGTGTGTGTATGTATGTGATGTTTGTGTGTGTATATCTAATTATGTGTGTTTGTAATTGTATGTGTGTGGGTCTGTGATTGTGTATGTCTGTGTTTATGTGTGTGGTTGTGTGTGTATCTCTGTTGTTAAGTGTGTGTGTGTGTATATATATATATATATATATATATATACACACACACATACACACACACACACTTAACTACAGAGATACACACACACACTTAACGACAGAGATACACACACAACCACACACATAAACACAGACATACACAATCACAGACCCACACACATACAATTACAAACACAATTAGATATACACACGCAAACATCACATACATGCACACATTTAATAATTAAGAGGTCCACCCAGCCTCCCTACCTTGCTCTGGGAGGGCTAGAGTGGATCCTCAGTCCCTGGTAGTCAGTGGTTGCTGTTGGGATCTCTGTGCTCTTCATGCACACGTCCCTTGCACATCCTGTAATATGACGCCGATGCTTGGATGATGTTATGTGCCGACTCACTGCAGGGCGAAGACAGTCAGATACAGTCAGATGTACACAGTTATACGCATATACTGTCAAATACAGCCACATGCACACCGTACCAAACACATATTCACTTGCACACTGTCAAAAGCACAGCTGCAGACAGTCACACACACACACACAGCTACAGGCAGATAGTCACACACACACACACAATTACAGGCAGACTGTAACATAGTTACAGGCAGCACACAGTCACACACACTCAGTGACATGCAGACAGTCACACACAGTCACAGGCAGACAGTCATACACAGTCCCAGGTAGACAATTACAGGCAGACATTCATACATACAGGCACAGGCAGACAGTCACACACACAGTCACCAAAAGTCAGTCTCACGCACAGTCACAGGAAGACAGTCACACTCAGTCCCAGGTAAACTGTCACAGGAAGACATTCACAGGCATAGACAGTCACAGATGCAGTCCCAGGTAGACAGTCACAGGCAGACATTCACACACAGTCACAGACATTTCCAGGGAGATAGTCATAGACGCAGTCACAGGCAGACAAACACACAGTCACAGGCAGAGAGTCACAGGCAGACAGTCACAGACACAGTCACAGGTAGACAGTCACAGGCAGACATTTACACACACAGGCACAGGCAGACAGTCACAGACGCAGTCACAGGTAGACAGCCACAGGCAGACATTCACACACAGTCACAGATAGTCACAGGCAGACATTCACACACACACAATCACAGATAGTCACAGGCAGACATTCACACACACACAATCACAGATAGTCACAGGCAGACATTCACACACACAGTCACAGATAGTCACAGGCAGACATTCGCACACACACAGGCAGACAGTCACAAGCAGTCTCACACACACACACACACACACACTCTCTCTCTCTTACTGGTGGAGGAGTGGAGTCAGTGAGTCCCTGGTGTGTTGGAGTTGGGGAAGCAGTGACTCCTTCCTGCTTCCCCTCAGTGTGCTGCAGTGAAAGGCAGCAAATGGAGGCTGGCTGTAGCTCTGCCCCTGCATCCGGATTGGCTCCGCCTCCATGGCAGAGTTGACTCCGCCCCCAATTCTCCGTGCAGTACTTCTGTACTGCTGAATTCCCAGCCCCTGCGTGTGTGAGAGCTGTGTGGCTCCCAGCACCCTGTGCAGCCAAAAAATGTTTGTGAAATATGTGTTTTTTGTGCCTGGAGATAATTGAGTTTTGTACAGTTCCTGACTCAATTATCTCCCAGGCATGAGGGAGGGATTGTCCTATTTTGTGTGGAAGTGTCATGGGCGTGCTTGTCTGTGTTCAGAAATGTATAAAAGCAAGCCATCTGGCCAGATTAAAGGTATTCCAGCTTGTACTCCCAGAACTATGTGTCATCTGGTTACTGGGAGGGGAAAGGGCTAATCACTGATCACTGCTCCAGTGTGGAGGATTCAACGGGGAAAGTCCTTGTAAGGACTAGAGCTACCAGGACTGAGTGTTGTCCAGTGCCTGGGGGTTGCTAGAGCAAGTTCCCCATTCGGCTTCAGGAGGGAGCGGTTCTAGGACCCCAGTCAAGCCACGGCGACTGTGGGCAGAAGTGCTGCTGTTTGTCTCCTGTTCCAGCTATCATGCGGTCCTTAGTGGAGGTACCCAGCCAGGGGTACAGGGAGATCCGTTACATAAGCATTGGGTTAGGGCTGGTGTAGAGTTAGCGTTAACTACAAAAAATGAATATAGATCCTTGACATATAAGGACTGATTTGTGAATTTATTTTGAGTTTGTTTTCTTTAGTTGCACTTGAAGTGTAAAAATCTATATGTAAAACTGTGAAAACCATTTTCCTGTTTTTAACATTTCTTTGTACTTAATGTGGTGTTAGGTTTGCATATAGAATATTAAATGAGGGCTATTTCTGTCCTTTCAAAAATAAAAATATAATATGTATGGTTGCACTTAAATAGAAACCCTTAAATTATGGTGGAACAAACACATAGCACAAATTATACGTTTTGTTTAGATTCTGATGTTGGATAATTGCCTCCATTCTTAAGGGGTTTCAGTTTAATGACTTTGAAGACTGACAGTAATTGCATGGATTGTAATTTACCTGTTTGTTTGTAAAACATATGTTAATGAAACATAAGATAAGGTCTTAAATTCATTTAGAGTTGTGTGTACTCTGAAGTCTCTCTAAAGTATTTCTTCTATGGCTAGATCTCCTACTTTAAAAAAGAAATAATTTAACAAATATGTGTAGGCAGACCGTGTTAAACTGTTTAAAAATTGGTTAATGGAAGAGCAGCGACAGAGGACTAAAGGCACTATAACCAATTTAATCAGATTAAATGATTATAGTGCCTACATTGTCCCTTTAGTTACTCGTTATCAATGCAGCTGTGATGAGGGTTCTGTCTTGGTTCTGGAAGACCCTCGGTTTATATCAAACCATTCTTGAATAGCTTGCTATTAAATAGAGGTATGGCACCTGGGGATCCTTAGCTACTAATTGCAACAGTGAGATGTAGTGTTTATATTATGTAGAGAAGGGGTACCCTATAGGTAGATTCCCAGATGTTTTAGAACTACAACTCCCATGATGCTTTGCATGCCTTTTGAATGCTTTAGAATGACAAACCATCATCAAATCTGCTGGTCAAAGTAGTTCTACAACATCTGGGGATCTACCTTTTGGGCACCAATGATGTAGAGTGTCCCTTTAAAGTAAATATGTCATTACAGCTTACTTAAAAAAACCAATGTGAATTAGGATATATCTGTAAGATGCTTTATTATTATGAAATGAAAATTATTGTGTATTATCTGCTCATCCCCATGTACTTAACCAATACCTGTCCTCTATCCTTCAATAGGAAATTCTGGCTACCCCTTAAAGTCATGGATGCTTGTGTCCTTCGGAAATTCTGTGAACACTGGACACAAATGCTACAACCAGCTATATAAAAGCAGGTTTTGTTGTCTTGATGGAACTATAAATGCTTCTGCAAAATATGGCCAGGAATAAGAAGCTTCTACCAGATAATGAGGAAGTTCTGAATGAGAAGTCAAGAACTATCTGAATGTGGGGATTGTCAGACATGTCTTACCTAGGAACCCAGAGTGTTTGTTTCATGGTGCAACATTATTTTATATAAGGGAGAAAAACACACCTCAAAGACATTTGGTTTCTTCATTTTTGTTCCTTGTTTGCAGGTCTCCAACTGCACCCACCGTGAATCCTGCTCTTTTTTTCTAATTATTTAAAATGTATATTAAAATCATGGCTTTTCAACTACTCTCATGAGTGTGTGTATGTGGATTGTTTGAATTTGAAGAAACAAATAAAATCGCTCCTACACATATCAGAACATGGCAGCTCCCACGTTACAACAAAATCATTCACATACGACATGAATGAACCATAGATAATTATTTTAAATGTAAAAAAATAAATACCATACAACTCAACGAATTTGCTAAGAAATTACACATTTGTTTATTCCTCCATTCCACTTCCAGGGCTCCTATTGTCATGTAGAACTGTACTAAGTTCAGTGGTATCAGAAAATGTTGCGCCTAGAGTGAATTGTGAGGTTGGTTAATGAGGTGGTGGTGGTGTCTTGTTATTGAAATGGCGCTGTAGAGTAGCTGCCACTATACACCTGACAGAGACTGCTTGATTCCACATTTTACCTTCTGTTGCATCAACATTCTATCTTCTATAATTCTGTGAAGCACAGATGTCATGAGCAGGTATAGCCCCCCATGGCTGGGGAGTTATGCATCGTGCCATTTCAGCTGTTGCTTGTGTCTGTATGGGAATGCAGGCTCAGCTTTATTAAAGAGATTGATGTCTACCAGTGGAAAAGGATCATCATGTGGCGGTTGTTGAATTAGCTCCAATAAATAGTAGAGAAAAAGTACAGGTGAAGCTGTGGAAAACATAGAATTTATGCCCACAGTCCACTAGTACATAAATAGCAAT